TCTTTACATAATAAAAACTGTATCAATACGAAAATATTTCAAATATGATCGGAACATAATTAAATCAAATTGTCATGTATATTTTTTTCATATATTATATTGCAATATCATCGTCAGGTCTATGTTTAATAAAAAAAGCCTAGATTCATTTTTAGTTAATTATGTAGTATCGGTGATATTTAAATTTGTAATGACTTCCGGTACCGATATGTAGTTTTAGCCTATGTAATATATATATATATATATATATATATATATATATATATTCTTCCCTGTTATATATATACTTCCTCCGTTGCTATTCAGTTGACGCGTTTGATTTAGGCACATAAATTTAAGGAGAGGAGAGAGAGAGTGATAGAGAATGAAAAAGCAAGTGGAGTAGCTTGTAAATGCAAGGTAAAATATTTACCCAAAAAGGAAACGTGTCAACTAAAAAGAAACTTCCTAAAAAGGAATAGTGTCAACTAAAACGAAACGGAGGTAGTATATATATATAAAGTTAAATTTATATTAATGTATAAATTTATAATAGTATGAAGTGTAAATATCAATGAATAATTTTAGGTTACTATAATATTATGTATCTAATAGCAACTCATTGTAATACAGCATTCATATGTAGTTTTAGCCTATGTAATATATATATATATATATATATATATATATATATATATATATATATATATAATAGTATGAATAATGAATATTAATGAATACTTTTAGGTTACTATAATATTATGTATCTAATAGCATATGTGAATTGAAGTACTTCGTATTTACCAAAATAATATGTATCGTGATAAAATCAACTACAACACTTTTAGGTTACTATAATATTATGTATCTAATAGCATATGTGAATTGAAGTACTTCGTATTTACCAAAATAATATGTATCGTGATAAAATCAACTACAACACTTTTAGGTTACTATAATATTATGTATCTAATAGCATATGTGAATTGAAGTACTTCGTATTTACCAAAATAATATGTATCGTGATAAAATCAACTACAACACTTTTAGGTTACTATAATATTATGTATCTAATAGCATATGTGAATTGAAGTACTTCGTATTTACCAAAATAATATGTATCGTGATAAAATCAACTACAACTTTTTACATATTCTTAATGGGGCTCTCTAAATCTTTGTAATCAAATGTTACGTATTAGTAGTTAAAGGAAATCAAATTAACAAATTAAATCTATCTATATCTATAAGTAATAAAAAAACTCTAACCAGAAACGACACATGTTCCCATTTAATTACACTTCTCTATATTATTCTCTAATCCAAGTACCGCATGTGTTATTGCATTTATTAATATTTTAAGTCTATTTCTAAGTCGTCTTTCATTAAATTTATACTTCATCTTCACCTCTCCTCTTCAATTCAACTTTTTTCTTTTCTCTTTTTAGTTTTAGCTCCTCCAGGCCACCCCCTTTATTTAAGACTCCTTTTCCTCGAGGACATGAAACAAAAAGTAATAAATCTAATATATCTATGTAAAGGGGAGTTTTTTCCCGAGGTTTTAGAGAGCCGCATAGGATCTAATTTTCTTATTGTGCAATGTAAGAATATAAATTTTATTAGTATCTAAATAAATAATATATTATTAAATCTTTTATAATTAAATAATTCACATGACACGTAAGCAAAATTGACAAATGTGATTTTAATATTTAAATTATAATTAAATAATTCAAATGTCACGTAAGAAAAATTGGCGAATGAGAGTTTTTAAATTTAAATTAATTAAACATAAAATAAAATGTTTTGATATTAAGAACTTTATCTAAATATATAACCAATTTTAGCACATTAATTAAAAAAAATTATTTTAAAAAATCTAGTTATAATCTAAGGACAAGATATTATCAATATATATAAGTGGCCTTTTTTATAAACTAATAAAGCAAACTATATATTTCACTTCTTATTATTGTACTTTCTTTTATTTACAAACAATGACCGGAGCATCGCCAGAGCCAAAAACTAGTTAAGAGATAGTAAGTTGTTCTATGTTACGGAGTATATATACATATCTCATTCATATGTACTAAAGTTTAAAAAACGTTAGTATAAGTAGTTAATTTGTACATAGTACATGTTGGGATAGGTAAATTTACTCAATTAAGTAGCAAATAAATATGAAATGAATAATACGAAATTAAGATTTTATCTACGACGTTTTACTTTTTACACGATCAATCAAATGATATGATTTTACTTAACCATATATGCAAATATACTCCAATATTCTATTTTCTACCATAAATTATAAATTCAAATTTTGTAACCTTCTACTATTATAATAATAATAATTATTATTATTATATATCGTAGGATAACTATTATTACCAGTTCTTATTGAAGGATAGCTATGTCGTTTATAGTCGTTGTTTAAGATTAATTTGATTTTTACATGATTATTTAGGAACAACTGTTTGATAAGTGTCAATTTCTGTACATATAACATAACCTAACAAGTCCATTTGTTTTCGGGGTTTCAGGGTATATAGTCTACAAATTGCTAATATAAAAAGTTATTTACTATACTCATACTAGTAAACACTAATATAAATAGTTAATTTTTTGTTAATAATCAAGGTCGGTGTAGGATTTTTTACTGATTAAATTAGTAATTGATTAGTATCCAACATATTTGAATTTGAACATGATTTATGGAAAAATATGATTTTACTTAAACAATTGTTATTGTTACTAAATATATATGTATCTATGTATCATCCAAGAAAGTCGCAAGGACTAAAAATTAATTACCCATTCAAGTTCAGAATCCTGTTTGAAATTTTGTGGAAATCTTAATACGAGAATCGAATGACATTAATTCAATATAAAGTATATTTTATCTAAATTGATATCATATACTGGAATGTTCAACGTCAATTGTTGAATCTGGAAAAACGAGATAGATAAGAGCAGTGAAATTCATTTAATTAAATTAAACACATGTTAGAAATAAATCGATCATGGTGGATTGTTGATTGTTCAAAATCGAATTCGTTTGTCTAGTAAACATGCTCGCGAATAGAAAATTCTTATAACTTCATCTGAGTAACAATTGTCGGCGCTGGATTCCGTAATCTTCACCGGCGTCCTGTTCATCTTCTCCGGCGTCGTGCTCATCTTCTACGACGTCCTTATCATATTAACCTGTATAATGGTTGTGATACCATCAATGATAAAATAATAGAAATTTCAGAAAAAATAAAAATAAAAATTTGTGCATTAAATGCAGTTAGGCGCCAAGAATTTTCGCTAGCCATTTTCCCGCTTCCAGTAGCTTGTTAGTGCCAATGAGGGTGAAATTTCCCCCCTAAAATTCCCTCATCTTTTTTTTGGCTCTTGCTTATGTGGCAGCACCTCATTGGAAATGTATATGGAGCCCACATACAGTGAATGTATGTGTATCACTGTCCGATTAAGTAGATCTATAGTCTGATTAAAGTTTTCAGCAATAATTGTATCATTTCTAGGTAGTGTTGCATGTGAGTTTAAGGTTAAATTATTCGGATCATTGAATGATTCTACAATTGGTTATTGTAATGAATTCATAAAAATTCATAATTAGGCTGTAAGATTATTTTGTCATTTGGTATTAAAATACAAACATAAAAAGTATGAAGTTTTCTTAAAGGTGAACTTAATTTTTTTTTTTTTTAATTCTTGTGTACTACTTTCTTGATATGAAAAATGGTTGTTATTTACATAGTCTATAATAATTAAGTTTTTCTTAAAGCAATATATATTTTAATTTGCTCATTGCATTATCTAAGCACTAAAATCGCTTCCTCTATCTATAAAATTTTAGATTTAGGGAATATAAAATTAAAAATGATGGCCTAGTAAGGTTAAATAAAGTTTGTAGCATGTTGTCATGTGGGGTAGGTTGTTATTATGATGTTATTTGTATTTAAATATTTGACATATGAGGCAATACAATTTATTTCATTAACTACAAACACAAATTTTAGCTTTAACCCAATTTCACATCTTCTAAAAAATACGATAGAATATAGTCCCTCAATAAATTTAAATTTAACCAAAAAGTTTAATCTGTGAATTGCACGACTAAATACTAGTAAAAGTATGTATGGAGTATATAATAATTATGTTACCAACAAAAAATTCCCCCCATTTTTAACTGTTAGATTACTATACAAGCATAGAGGTTATTTTAATAAGAGAGAGAAAGATAAAAGGAGATGTTTAAGGGAGAGGGAAAAAGTAATAATGAAAAAAAAATTTAAGATTAGTTAACAAAACTAAATATATGCACTATGTAGTTTAACATTCTAAATAAAGGGGGTTTATATTTAGTTTTATTGATGCATGGATCCTTTATTATTTTTTCATTTACACTACAAATCCCCATTAATTTCGAAGGAGGCATGTCGTATTTTCCAAAAATAACTTATAATTAGTTCCTAAAAAGAAGGTTGATATTAATTTGTGTCTTTAAACAGAGAACATCTAATTAAAGTTTGTATATTATTCTTAGTTTTGGTTACCTCTAAATTTTTTTTATCAAATAATTGTTCTTGATATTGAATATATGCTCTCCTCATTCTTCTTTACCCAATAATCATAATCATATTCATCAAAACTATCTTGTTTAAATTTATCCGTATCTTTCTTAAAATTCTTTATTATCATCTTTATCAAAACAAAACGGCATCCATTAAAGATATTGGCAAGGCTTATAAAAACCTTGTTATTAAATGGAATCATGATAAAAATAATTTCAATAAGCATGAATTATCCTCCAAATTTCAAGATAACACTCAAAATTATAAGGTAAAATATTCAGTCATACTTAGTTTTTATACGATTTTATAGCTACATACTATTTATTCTTATCATTGATGCATTTTGATTTTATAGAATTCTAATGACAAAAAACAAGAAGGGAATTGGAATACTCCAACAACATCTGCAAAACACGAAAGTTTTCATCATAAACGCAGTATGGATGATAGTTTCTTTATACGATCTCCTTCATTACTCTCACGGGCTAATAGTAGAAGAAGTCACACTCCATCACCTCACTTAAATAGAAGCTATAGTCGATCAGCCGACATGATAGATTCCTTAAAAAGAAGTATAAGTAGGAAGGGTGCAACAAGCTCATCACCTGTGGAAACTCCAAATATCACTTTAAGTAAACTAATGAGTCATAATCATACAAATACAACAAATGTTTCTGGTGATTTGTCAAGAAATACAAGTCGTAGGAGCACAACTCCAATTATATTTTCTCAATCCAAAACACGGAAGAAACCTCATCAAGTTGAGAAGAGGCTTGAATGCTCATTAGAAGAATTGTGCTTTGGTGCTACTAAGAAGGTAAAGATAAAAAGAGATGTTATTTCGGATGCAGGGTATGTCTTCTATTCCTTATTATATATGTTATTGAATTTTCATTATATAACATATGAATCTTAAATTTTGTTAAATTTTTTATTTGTGAATCATTCTTAATACTGTGTGTGTAGTACAAAGACTACAAACTTATATAGTAACATGATGCCCACATTGTAGAAACGTGTATTTAGATTTGACAATGTTGTTGCTAGTATATTTTACCAATACACTCTTCATGGCGTACCTCCCCATTGGTACATTATGGTAGCAATCCTTCTGTTTTTTTAAGCATTACTTGAGATTTTTCACTATTCATATGTTACCTTTGCCATAATATTTTAACAAAAATATACTATATAGCTATGATCTATAACATGTAGTTGGTTTTAATATAATTTCTACTTTTTTATATAATTGTTTATATAAGTTTTGCTAATATCAAATTAAGGATATTGATGGTCAAAACTATGTCTCGACAAATGTTAAAACTCAGATGATACCTTATAAAAAAAAACACATAGTGAATATTAAGTAAAAATTTTAACCATTTTTCTAATCTTTCTAATTGTTATATTTAAATAGGAATTTTTTTTATAAATAGTAAAAAATTTCTAATATATCGTACTTTTGCAAATAATATTTATAGTAATTAAATCAAATTATTTATTTAAATTATTCTAAAGTATAATACATAAGTAATTTTCATTTTTACCTCAACACAATATTATATTATACTAGATGAAGCCAGTGCGATGCACGGTTTGTTAGTATTTTTTTTAAGAAAATATTTTTCATATCTATGTTATTAAAATTGTTATTATATTAGTTTTAAAATATTAGAATAATTCCTAATCTCAAAAGATAATATTTTGTATATAATTAATTTAAAATTTAAAATCTCATTCGTCAATTTTGCTTACGTGGCATTTGAATTTTTAATTGTAAAAGAAATTAATAATCTCTTATTTCATTGGTTACAACTTAAATTTATAATCCTACGTGGCGCGCTAAGAAAATTAAATCCTACGTGGCTCTCTAAAAACTCGGGGAAAAACTCCCCTTTATATATATATATATATATATATATATATATATATATATTAGATTGCATCTGCTTTTGATAAAATTGACTAATTTCTTAATGTCAGTACTATTAATTAAAAATTATATTCTTCATAAAAAAAATGGAAACCCCTTTCTAGGTAAAATTGGCCTCAACACTCTGAACTATAGCTTGGTGCACCTAGCACCCTATACTTTTCTTAGTGTCCAAATCACCACAAACTAATGACTTAGGTGCAAAGTGCACCTTTAGTGAGGTCATTTTTTAAGATCACGCGATGGAAATCACGGAAAAAGGGGTCATTTTTTAAGGTCACATGAGAGGTCAGCGTTAGAGAAAAAAGTCAATAATTGTCGAATTATGACCTCAAGGTCCCCCAAACAACAAAATAAACTTATAAGGTTCTTTTAAACCATTTTAAACATATAAGGTCCTTCCAAATAAAATAGTGAACATATATGTCCTTTCCATACAAATTTTCTTTAATTTTATGAATGATAATAATTAAGAAATAAGAGTTATCATTGGAATTGTGTTTCTTCCTATTGTACCAAAAAGAAAATACAATTTTCCAAGATTAGAAAAATAAATAAAAATGTGGGGTATTACGTGCATTATTTAACAAAAATTTTATTAGTACCATAGGCACTATGTGCAACACATTACAACACAATTTTTTATTATATTTCAACAAAATAAAAAAATGGTGAGTAATCACACTTACTAAAATGTTTCACTTTATTTGAAACATAAAATTGCAAACTAGTCATATAGAAAGTGAAAAGCATAGAAATGAAATGTATGGATATTGTTTTAGCAATTTACAAATTTTATTCAAGCTTGATGTCAATTTGGATGGGTTGTGCCTCAAGTTTTTCATGGACAAGCTATGAACTACTAATATGCGTTATTCCTATTGAATAATTAATTGTATGTTGGAAGTTACATTAAAAAAATATTTTATATTAGAGAAATTATTAAGCAAATCATATCGTAACATATATAATTAAAATGTATGAATTTCCTAATATCAATATAACACAAATGTATTTTTCAATTTGATTATATCTCATCTATCTATTATAATATTGTATCATGTTTTTAGTTCAATATGATGTGAAAAAGCATCCGTAGTGTAAAGTAATTAATTACTCCCTTGCCCTACTATATAAGGAGTGGCTAAATATACATATCTCATCTTTGTAAAATAAAATACAAAATTCTTCCTACCTTTTAACTTAAGTCGGGTCCTACATTTAACTTCCTTTTTTCACTTCCATAATTTATTGTATTAGTTTGAAAATTTTGTCACCCTCATTTTTTGTCAAATCATGTCAGAATTGAAGCCTTAGTGTTGTTGATGATCAATTATTTATTGTAGAATAATTGTTCAAGAAGAGGAAACTTTACATATTAATGTCAAGCCGAGTTGGAGAAAAGGAACAACAATAATATTTGAAGGAAAAGGTGACGAAAAACCAGGATATTTACCTGCAGATATCATATTCTTGATAGATGAAAAAAGACATGCTTTATTTAAAAGAGTAGGCGATGACTTAGAGTTGGGTGTTGAAATCTCTCTACTTAACGCTCTTGTTGGTTGTAGCATAACCTTGCCATTACTAGGGGGCAAAAAAATGTTTTTGCGAGTCGATGACGTAATGTATCCAGGATACGAAAAAGTTATTCAAGATCAAGGAATGCCTATGTCTAATGAATGTGGAAAACGAGGTGACCTACGACTAAAATTTATTGTAAATTTTCCAAATAAATTAAGTGATGATAAATGTATAAAAATTTGTAACATCTTAGAAACTTGTTTTTGATATGAAATTTTGTTTATCAAAGTATTCAAGTGTAACTTTTATTAAATTCCTTAAGCATAAAGTTATTATATTTTTCTACATTAAAATCATATCACATCATAATTAATTCATTTTACCTAGATGAACCATGAGAAGTAAACGTAAACCTTTTAATACAGATCAGATCAACATCAACATTAATTTTGTATTATTTTTACTTTTATTTTGTATTAGAATAATAAAAAAGAAATTCAATGTTATATACTTTGCCCTAATGCAACTTTAAACATTGCAACCAAAATTTACCCTTTTTAACAGAACTTTAAATTAACTTTACATTTTTAAAAATCTATATAAATAAATTATAATGACTGTATGTGGTAAGTCGATAGAAGGAAGTTGAAAGTAAATATATTCGAATAACTATATACTAAGAGACACAAATGTTACATGGATTGATTTTGTCCATCTTATTAAGTGTCATCATGTTACCCTAATTTGGCTCGAAGATTAGTATTTCATTGGAGCATGACTATGCTTTATATTGTCCTCTGTTGTCTTTATTTTAACATAAAAAGGAAAACATTTTATATTAATGGCCTAAGGCCCACATAACAAGTTATTAATAATCAAGTTCGAAGAGGCTAAGTCTAAGGGTTGCCTTTTCCAAACAAGAAAAAGAAACTTTAGGCTATTTAAAAGAACATAATAACAAGCTTTCATAGCAGCGATAAAACAACATATAAACTAACACAACTACCACAAATAGTACTATAGCAAGGCGTCAAACCAGAAGCTTGCTTGAAGTTCCTAGAGAAGACAACAAATCATTCCCACTTCTTATATTTCGTGAAAGCATCAACATTACAATTAGAAGGCAAGTAGTGGAATTAATCAGTCATGTGAGAACATACATTGCAAGGTTGTGCACCACATCATTATAATCTCTTTGGGCATAAAGAATGATCACCATCCAATCTTCCTTCAATTATTGAACAATGTCTTGAATAATCATCCCTAGCTCATGGTTTAAATTCTCCTCTACATTTTGTACATTCCTTTTCAAGGCATCTGCATTTGTTTCAAGCTCGAGATGACATATACTCCCTTCGTTTTTAATTACTTGCTTCATTTCACCATGCGCAGAGTTCTAAGAGAAATTGGATTAAGTAATAAAATATGGAGGTAGTGGGGTTGGTGAAACAATAAAAAATTGTGGAGAAATTGGAGAAGCGAGAATATACAATTAATAGAATATAATTTATATTGGGTCCACTATGTGAGAGAAATAAATTAAATATTGTAAAAAGATTTTCAAATAAAGAAATAGAGAAATTATTTAAAAACGGTCGTAAATGAAAAGTGGATCGGAGCAAGTATTTAAAAACCGGATTAAAATTCTTTGTTATCACCAAACCTTGCTTCTTCAGGGGAGACCGGGTAGAATTCCATGGAGAAACCAATGTTGTTTCTAATTACTCCCCCACCACCCACTTTACTATATCACTACCAGCTGCCATGCGTTTCAATTTTTGGTAGCCCATTTAAAATTATTTTCATTCAGTTACAAATATGTTCGAAATATCATCGCCATTCTCTATTTGTAAAATTTGATTATTGAGATAAAGATCTCAATTGAACTTTGCCAAAAAAAAAAAATAATAATAATATTTGAGCCATAGATATCTCAAAGACAGGTTTATTTTAGTAACTCCAACGATGCCAAACAACTTATGATATGAAAACAAAGTTTTCCACTTTTTATCTTGATTTAAATTAAAAGTAATCCAATCATACCATGATAATTCTAGAATTGAGCCAAATCAAAATAGGAATCAATTTTATTTGATTTTTTTTCTCAAAAACAATACTCCAATATCCAGATGAGGAGGGATAGTCTCTAAAAAGGTGCAAATGATCCTTAGTGTTAGTTGAATGATTCAAAATTAGTAGTGGCTAAATTTTAGAAGTAGTTGTTTAATGAATTTAGTCTTTAATAAGTTATAGATGCTTAATATTATCTCGGAGCATGCCGTTAGTGGTGAGCTTAGTCAGCCTATTTTTATGTAGTTTAATCTTGGGATTATCCCCTGATTCTTAGGCTTAGTTTGTTAACTATGTTTCCTATAAATTGTGTAACTTGCATTGAGTGGAATATACAATCAGTATTATCATTTTCTCCTCTTGCTACTTTTGTTTATTAGCCTTTTGATATTTTATTTATTTCAACATGGTATCAGAGCTAATCCAGGTTCCGATCCTAAAACAAAATTAAATGTCGTGAGTGTCGTGAGATTGGTTTTGAGTGAAACCAAAAGGTTAAGTCGTGTTTTATTTTTTTAGTGCATGATTGTCGTAGTATTTTTTGTGGGCAAGTTTTTTTGAGTAAGTATGGCAACCAATGGTTCAAATGCAAATACACAACCCTTAATTCCAGTTTTCAAAGGTGAAAAACATCATCTTTGGAGTATCAAAATACAAACAATGTTCAAATCTCAAGAGTTGTGGGATATTGTCGAGTGTGGGTATATAGAACCGACGGAGTCGCCGGCGGAGCCAAATCAAAAGTTGCGTGAAAATCGCAAAAGGGATGCAAAGGCATTGTTTTTTATTCAATCAGGAGTAGATAATGATATTTTCCCTAGAATTTCATCTGCAAAGACATCTAAGAAGGCATGGGATATCCTAAAAACTGAGTATAGGGGTGACAGTAAGGTAATATCTGTTAAATTACAAAACCTTCGTCGTAATTTTGAGTCACTACTAATGAAAGAAAAAGAGTCGGTGCAAGAATATTTGTCTAGAGTATCAAATATTGTTAACCAAATGAGATCATTTGGTGAAAATATTAGTGATCAAACTGTTGTGTGTAAGGTGTTAAGGAGTTTAAATCCTAATTTCAATCATGTTGTTGCGGCAATCGAAGAGTCTAAAGACATGTCTAATTATAGTTTTGATGAATTAATGGGTTCCCTTATAGCTCATGAAGATAGAATTTCAAAGTCTCATGAGAATGAAGGAGATGAAAAAGCCTTTCAAGTTGAAGGACAAATGTCAAATGGAAGGTATTATGAGGGTAGTCGAGGTCGTGATGGAAGTGGTCGTGGTTATGGTCGAGGTGGTCGTGGTCGCGGTCGTGGTCGTGAAGAAAATGATAGTGGTGATCAATTTGAAGGTCAACGTTCATCCATGAGTAGAGTCCAATGCTATTATTGCAAGAGGTACAGTCACAAAGAAGATCGTTGTTGGGATAAGCAAAGGGACGAGCAAAGTGGTGGACAAAACAACTATGCTCAAAAGGTCGAAGAAGAAGAGAGCAAGCTCTTCTAAAATCGAGTGTCGTGGTTATGTCATGAAAGTCGTGGTTGTGGTGCCTTAAGTGTCGTGAGTCAATGCATGTCGAGCTCAAGGTCGTGTTTGCATGTTCATGGTCGTGGTTGTGTAAGTTGTATCTTGGTAGTCCGTAGTCGAGTTCAGTAATTTTGAATCAAGGGGGAATGTTAGTTGAATGATTCAAAATTAGTAGTGGCTAAATTTTAGAAGTAGTTGTTTAATGAATTTAGTCTTTAATAAGTTATATATGCTTAATATTATCTAGGAGTATGCCGTTAGTGGTGAGCTTAGTCAGCCTATTTTTATGTAGTTTAATCTTAGGATTATCCCCTGATTCTTAGGCTTAGTTTGTTAACTATGTTTCCTATAAATTGTGTAACTTGCATTGAGTGGAATATACAATCAGTATTATCATTTTCTCCTCTTGCTACTTTCGTTTATTAGCCTTTTGATATTTTATTTATTTCAACACTTAGAAGCTCCTTCACATAAAGAGTATACGGGGCTCAAATAAATTTGTGATTAATTTTTAGGAAAATTTTCAAAAAACCACCCAAAAATGTGTTGAATTTCTAACTAACCACCCAAAAAAAATTTTATTTTAAAATACCACCCATTAAATTAATTTTTTGCTCAGATTCCCACCCAATTTGAAAATCCGGTGGTTTTTTAGCTTGTGGGGCCCACATAACGGCTAGTTTATGCTTTTATTTGTTTTCTTCCCCCGATTTTTCCTATAAAAGTGTATTCCTTATTCAATTTTTGCTCCTAAACAAAATTTTTTCCCAAATTACACAAAATTAAGCTTGCTTCTAATTGCAAAAATTGAATAAGGAATACACTTTTATAGGAAAAATCGGGGGAAGAAAACAAATAAAAGCATAAACTAGCCATTATGTGGGCCCCACAAGCTAAAAAACCACCGGATTTTCAAATTGGGTGGGAATCTGAGCAAAAAATTAATTTAATGGGTGGTATTTTAAAATAATTTTTTTTTTGGGTGGTTAGTTAGAAATTCAACACATTTTTGGGTGGTTTTTTGAAAATTATCCTAATTTTTATGAAATCTAGTTTCCACAAGTAAAATAGTGTGCACAACTTACTAGAATTACATTTTATATTTAAAGGGTACTTAAATGTCCCATATGCTTTTCTTGTTGTAATTTATAGAAGAGGTAAAGAGGGTGCTTGTAGCAAAAGTAGTGTAAGATGATTTAAGACATTAGCAATATATTTTAATCCGATTCTATTAGGATGGTGGACAATTAAAGAAAGATGAGTGGCCAAGATTTGGTGTTTGATGTGGGAAGGACAATGTATGTTATTCTATCAAGATTCCAAGCTCCATAAAAAATGATACGAGTATTTGAAATACACCAGCGAGCAATAATAAAATGAATTTCAACAGTAACACGATTGCAAATGGAAGAGTCGGCTAGGATGAGGTGGTTTTCCCAAATCTAGTAGTTACAATAAGACCTCATTTTAATAACTCTCTTCCTTTTAAAATGTTTCCATAAAGTATAATGGTTAGAAGAGGGCATAATTGTAGGGATTTTATTACTCTAAGTGGAATTTCATGAATCTCAATTATACGCACCTAAAATAAGATTGCATGTAAAACACAAAAATCACATAATTATACCTTTGTAGCGTGATTTCCACGTTGCTATTGATTTCCAATTATG